GAATAATTTACCAGAAATACTATGCGTTTGCATGTGGCATTAACATTATTTTATAATGGAAGGTTTGAATGTAAGCAGGTAGAACGAGCAAGTAACAGCTAGTTCTTAAATCAACTTAGACCAGAAGGACTAGGAAACCTTGCGATCTGTGACATGGCAACTGACCAAAATTATCCCAGCAGAAACGAAACCAATTGCACCTCAATCCAAATTAAGCCCGTCGCAGGAATACCGTTGCGATTCCAAGGTATTTTACCAATCAAGCCCACAATTTCTCATGCTTCTGCGAACATCGGGGAACAGTTTGCCACATTCCCATTGAGCCGGAAATGTGCAGGAAATGCGAGTAAACACAAAAAGCGATTCAAGGAGAAAGTGGACATCCGCAGGACAGCCGCATCCATGGCGTTGGAGGATGTTCAAGGAGAAGCCACTGGGTCAGGTCATTCGCATTCAATAATCCCCCGCAAACAGCAACAAGGAATCACAATGCAATAACAAGGCGAGGAGTACACTACAAAAAAAGTATCGAACTATTGTTACCAACATAAAAATGGGATGCGCATTATTCTTCTACCATTTGTGTAACATTTTGGCGGTTTTATTACAAAAACATAATTTGGGAAAATTATTCACGCCAGTTCACCTTATAATACTTTATTTCAGAAACAAAATTATTTACCTCAACCCAAGTATTACGGTACAATAAAACAATTTAGGCTTCTGAAATACCAAAAGATTCCAAAAATTTTTGGCAGTTTAAGAAATTACTATGGGACAGTGGAAAAATGAAGAAAACCGAAGGAAAGGAGGAAAGGACAAGCCTCGATGTCAGCTTGACTTGCTTGATGGCATTTCCCTTTTGTCACTGACATCAATTGCTTTCCGCTGTCAATACAGAAATATTGATAAAATGATCCGGTCAGTGCATTTTTTACGGGGTATACAAATTTCTATGATGCACCAAAAGAGGAGATAATCTTTAATGGTTCCATTGCACCGTGCATTAAAATTGCTTATTTCACCAGAAAGTTTTTATACCCGTTAGAGTAAAAGTAAAAGTACTCGTAGAGTAAAAGGGTATACTAGATTCGTTTAAGAGTATGTAACAGGCAGAAGGAAGCGTTTCCGAGTTTCAATAGCCGAGTGGCCATGTCCGTCCGTTTGTCCGTATGAACGTTTCGATCTCGGAACTAGAATGTTGAGATTAAGCATGCAGCTTCCAGAGACTTAGACGCATCGTAAGATTATTTCGCACTCTAACGCCCAAAAATCCAACAAACCTGCCACGGTTACATTTTTTGTAAATGTTGTAATATTTTTGTAAACCTTTTTGACACGAACACTCTACCGCACCACAAGCCGCCCAAAACTGACACGACCACATTTTTGATAAATGTTTGGATATTTTTTCATTTTTTTATTAGTTTTGTAAATTTATATCGATTTGCCAAAAATAGTTTTGTCACGCCCACTCTACCACCCACAAACCGCCAAAACTGTTGAACAAATTTTGTTTCATTTCTTAATTTTATTCGCAATTTATACCCATAAGAAAATTATTAAATTTCTCTTTCGCACTTTCACTAGCTGAGTTACGGGTTTCTGATCATCGGGGAAATCGACTAAAGCATTTTATCTTATTTTAATTGTGAATTTCTTGCTTATTGCTAATGGGATTTACATCTGCAAGTTTTAAAAGTCAAAACCATTTAAGTTACTAAGTGAAATCACACTTTATTTTTTTAAACTCCCGTGCAATTTTCAACGAGATTCTTATCATTCTCATTTTCATTCAGCTTTGAAAAGATGATTTACATATGTACATATGTATGCCCTGTTCACCCTCAGTTCAGCGAAGTCAAAAATTAAAAAAAAAAAAAACTGCAGCGGACCGAATTAAATTCGTCATGCATACGATTTCTGCTCACAATGTGACTAGTCACTAGTCCTGCCTGTAGTGTATACACTGAGAGATTTAATGTGCTACTTTCGGTAAATTTCTTACTCATAAAGTTTATTATGAAACTATTGGAAAAGGATATGTGTCAGTTAATATATTTTGTAATCGTTTAGAACACGGCACATAAATTATATTATTTCTGCGTTAGTCTTCGTCCAACGATTGTTGAGTCCAATGTGCATTTCAGAATCGGGGGCACAAAACAGTAATCTATTCAATAAACCACGTGATCCACACGGGGCTACATTTTCAGCACGGTGAAATTCCGGAGGATGAGCTATGTACCCGGAATCCGGAAGCGACCTATGAACTCTGCGCATCCAAACATCGCTCCACTAAAATAAATTATTCAGTGCCCTGTGAACGCTTGAATAGATCGCTATTCACAAATATCAAATGGAGGTGCAACGGATAGACTGACAAAATACCATCAACCATTCATACACCTCCCCAAATATATTTGCCGTTGGCCCAAGGCTTCGTTTACATTTTGGACGCTACTACATTCACAGTTGTCTAAGTATTTAGATTTTAAAATCGATTGCATGACTAATTTTGTTTTACAACCTGCTATGGAGGAATAAATTATCGAATTAATAATAGAATTTTAAACTGAGTTCTCCCCCTAGAGAGATACTTCAGAATGGTTTGGTATAGTGCGAAAGTTGATTATAGAAATCACACTAACTCAATTATACGCACTCGTAAGCACACATAGTCCAGGGGTCAGGGAGTTACAGGAGTATATAAGGGGACAATGCGGCGAGGAAGGTATGGAAGGATGGCGGGGCGCAGGACACGCGTAGCCGCAGGACATGGTGGCATATGTGCAATCTCCCGATGATGGGCATCGCTAAGCGGTTAACCGCAGATGGCAGTCGATTGTGCCCTGTGTCGTTTGAGGACGCCAGAAACCAGGACTCGACCCATTTCGGGGCAGAAGTGTAGCATTATTTTAATGAAAATGACGCTTGATTCAGGGGGCGGCACTCCACAATCATTCCCCCTCACGCCTCATGCCCATTATTAAGCCCATAAAACGGCTCCAGCTGATGCGGTCAACAATTGTGAGCTTCGGAACAAGGCTTACGAAATAATAATAATGCAAACATCGAATGGGTGAAGCTGGAGCGGCAAAATGTACGGATGCGGGGCTCAACCCTTTGGACGCAGCTGCTCCGACGGCATCCAAAATGTAAACAGCCAGTGCCAGGAACACAAAGTGCCCTAGGTGCAAACACGTACTGCAATTCAAATAAAGAAAACAATAATAGAAAATGGAGTCGAAGCCAGAGACATGGAAGGGCAAAAAGCCAGGGAAAAGCGCAAACATCTACCAGCGCACAGAACCTACAAATGGTCCCATGTGACTGACACACTGAATACCCTATTCAGGTACTCAGCTACAAGGACATGAAGGACACATATGTGTAATAAAATATTATGATTAATATCTTAATATCATATCCTAAACTAGGTGTTATCCTAGCTGTTATGCCACTTGAATATGAGTTGCAAAACAAATATTAACTTATGAACTTATTTTCATTGCATTGATATAGATTTATATCCGAAAATAATGGGCAATTGTTCAACATTTTGTCATATACCCTCACGCCAATTAGAGTATTTCTGGGGTCTGCTACTCTTTCTTGGAAAGTCTTAGTGAAACGTTTGCTTTTCGCTGTTAGCTCTCAGGATAACCTTCTTCCTTCCGAACCTTCCGATTTTTTTGTCCTTCCATCAACTTGCCATTCCCATCAGTAAACCGTTCTCACGTTGCACACTGTATTGTGCTTTTCAATTGTTTCTCTTGTTATTTTTGCTCTTGCAATTGCACTTTCCAATATTGATGATGGGGCGCCACAAAAGATATATTATGTAACTATATTTAACGCATCATTGATTAAGGCCAATCGAAAATTGAACGCTTTTGCCAAATCAATGAATTGAAACAAACGTAAAGCCCACAATGGAGAATGAGGTGGCTGCGAAATGCGCTGACAACCGAACAGAACCAACAATATATAAAATAAATCTTACATTTGACTGAAAGTTACAAAAAAATATAAAATATATATATGTATATTTATAAAGTTGATAGTAGTAGGAGTTCTCTTCCTGTTTATTCATTGAAGAAGGGTCTGCATACATATATCTGATAGGATAAAATTGTAAAAGTACGTATGCCTTGAATATTTCGTACTTGAAGTAAAAGAACAAGTTTTATTTGCAAAAAAATTTAAATGGATATGTATTTTATGTTTATAAAAGCCAAGGCAAAGTGTGAAGATTGCATAATAATATTGATCGATTTTTCCCGATCGAGGGTGATTTCGGATATAGGGAGGCCCCAAAAATTATGAAAATGTTAAAATTCTTGACAATTGAAGGTACTTGGAGCAATTGAGCAAAAAAGTGGTTATTGAAGTAAACATTACTTCATTAGTTCAAGTTCAGACTTGTACAGACTTGATCGCCCAGGCTTGGATGTCCAGTTGCAGTACCAAATTGGTTAAAACAAGGAATAAATTGTATCTCATGCCACTCATCTCGACTATATGTAGTAAGCTGTCAACCCTAGAGGCTAAGCTATAGTCCACGTGAAATCGTCTGTAAGAGCTTTAAGTACCCACAAAGCGGCTGGCAGAATCGATTTTAAACAGGGCTATCCACTTTCATTGAGTAATTGATGTTTTCGTCCTTCCTTTTCGTCCTTAATAGCTCACCAAACTATCGCACTTGTGAGTTAAATTGAAAGCATTCAGTAAGATTTAAACACTTTGAAAACTACTTTTAATACTCATACTAAAATAAAATGATAAACAGCCTATTATATTCTTATTCATGCTGGCAAAGGTAATTGATCGACATTTTAAATAGGAAATTACTTCATGACGGCTTACCAGTAATTTCTATTTTATCACTTCGTCTGTAAGTGGAGAAGAACACTGCTTCCCTACTAAGTGGATTGCATGACAAGTCTATGGCCAAAACTAGTTCAAAACTAGTTACAAGTATATTCATAAGTCGTGGCCTTTCTTTTTATTGCTTGAATTAAACTAATTAACTAATTCATGATTAAATATAATCAGATTCCATCTTTCTTTTTCCTTCTCTGTTCAGCAATCTCCTCAAATACGTCTTCCAAAGATGGCTGTGATATGGAATAGTCGGCCAGTTTCCAGGCACTGCGATTGCCTTCGACGAATTCAAAGACCTGCGACCACCTTGTGTCCTCGGAAAATAAAAATGTTAATCTGCCACTAAACTCGTAAGTTTCTCTATAAGAAAATAATGTATGAAAATCCCGTATGAGAAAATATACAAATTTAAGAATTTGAATTTGAATTTGAAGGTATCTTCCAAAAACAATATTTTTACGTATCCCGAAATTGTCACGTTTACTTACTTTAGTTCTGCCGTGGGATAGGACTTACTGATGTCATCCTCAATCTTCGTCAGCATTGCCAACATTCTGAAAGGGTTGTATGCAGGTGAAAATACGCTAATCAAGTCTAAAACTTACTTATCTGGCTGTTCATTTACAACCAGTTTCAGCAGCATTCCCTTGCATATTTTGTTTTTGACGTGCTGATTCGATCCCATGGCGTATATTCGTCCGTCCACCATGACAACGCTTTTCGAGCAAAGGGCGTTTATCTCGTCCATGTTGTGGGAGGTGAGCAAGACGGACTTTCCCTGCTGGGCATTCTCGTTGATAATGGTCCAGACGTGTCGTCGCGATGCGGGATCCACTCCGGCACTGGGCTCGTCCAAGCAAATAAGTGATTTTGCCCCACAGGCAACTGCAGCGTTGATTTTCCGTTTCGTTCCTCCACTGTAGTACGATATCTGAGGTGTGACCATGAACAGATGTTAACCAAAGCCATGTTACTTGTACCCCTACCTTTTTATCCAAGTGCTTCCTAAAACCGAACTGATCGCCTAGTTGCTCACATCGTTGATTCAAGCGTTTGCTTGGACAGCCCCATATCAGAAGGAATATTTTTAGCATCTGGCGCCCGGTGAGAAACTCGAAAAACGAGTCATATTGAGGACAGTAGCCGATTTCCTGCATCGCCTTATTCCGTTCCTTTTTCATGTTATAGCCTGCGATATATATGTTTCCTGAGCCGATCGCATGCTCCCCAACTATCATTTTGAACGTGCTTGTTTTTCCAGCGCCATTGGGGCCAAGAAGTCCTAGGCAGTGTCTCCTGAAATTATGCAGTTGTTTCAGTTCGTAAAACAAAAACTATGAAAATATAATTTATACTACGGGAATGAGTACACTCACGGTCTCAGAGCAAAGGAAATGTTATTGACCGCTAGGAATCCACTGCAATACTTCTTTGAAACCCCATCAACGACCAACGCCCGTGATCGAATTTGATCAGCATTCATAGCTCTTATTTTCTCAGCCTCTCTAGCCACTTTGGGATCCTCAATGGAGCTCTTTGAGCGGTTTGGGCAGCACCCAACACATCTGTACCAAATACAGCTGCCATACTCAAAAAACATTAACAACATAAAAAATATGATGGCCCCGCCAAGCATGACCAGTAGCTCAGGGTAGATACCGGGATCTGTTATAAGTAATTTGAATTATTGTGAACCAGCACTACGTTCTTCAAGACTCACTTTCGCACACACATCGTGGATACAACATTGCAATGGGGTTTATGCAATTCATTTCAGAGGCCATTGTATTTGTTGCCGGTTGGTAAGACCCGCAAAAAGTCGTGTAGTGGTTTAGTTTTTGCATGCACTGATGGCAAGAATATATAGGATGCAAGTGGGCCAGGTATATTATTACATATAGAATTTTATACTTCAGCGCCAACTGTCCAAAAAACGCCATAAGAAACATCAGAAGTAAACCTGATAGAGGGTTAGAGTTTTAAATTAAAAATGGAATAAATATTTGGATTGGATTGGAAGCGTAGGAATCTCTTACCGCAAGATAAGATAATGTTTATGCCAAGACTTGAGGCTGAAAGCGTAGATATAAAGAAATAGATAAATATTAGACATGCAATTCCGGTGGCCAAGAGCACTTCCAGCAAAAAGTACCAGGGCGCATATTTGCTCAGGGGCAACAGCAGGGACAGCGCCAAAATTGTAAAGACCACCAAGTCGAAGGTTAGGTGACTCAGCCAGTATGTGATCATCCTCAGACCAGATACTTCCTGTTGCATCTTCATGTGCGAGACGTGCTCTTGGATTATAGCATTCGCAAACAAAATCATGACAATCAGCACATAGAATATGACGAAGAATGCGGCTCCCTGAGGAGTATCAATTTTTTCAGTTTTCTGTATAAATGGAGCGCTGGTAACCTCTATGGTGATTTTTGGACCCATGAGTTCGCGGGCGATGGCATTGTAGACCAGATTAAGAATCATGGGCGCCGCATGAACGTAGTGCCTGGGTCCGACCCAGCCGATCACACCCAGCGAATCCGCAATGTCGATAGCCATTGGCATGAAGGTAATCTCACGTCTGCCATTTTTCGACTTCCAGGCCTTCGTCACGAAGTCATTAACTGTTTCCGATATTACCTTAAGCTTGAACTCTCCCTTGATCAAGGACGCGATATACTGTAAACGACGTTCTTCCTTATATGACCTGTTTTCCGGTACTGACACCAAAATTGTGGCCTTATCATCCCCGTACTCGGTGATGTCCATGGTCATCTTGCCCAAATGCGAATCCCCAGGCTCCAGAATCAGCATTGTTATTAAGTAAACAATGGGCAACAAAAACAGAATTAGGAAGTAAACCTTTGTACAAAATGGAAGATACATCACAGTCCAAATAACTGAAATGTGGTCATATTACCTTGCTGTCATACAGAGCCAGAATCTTCTTGGTCATCATCGCTCTCCATTGCTTTCCACAGCTGCTCACATTTTCATCCTGATCCCCATCAACTTGATCATTATAGTCTTCATCTCTTTTCTCAGCACCTCCCATTTTGCGCGTATTTAGGTCCTCCGCTCCCAAGGTCATGAAAATCTCCTCCAGACTCACTGAGCTTATGCTGAAACCCCGCACACCCAACGTGTTCATCTGGCGCTCCAAGTCGCGGAAGAGCGGGGAATAGGAATTGGTCTTGCTGATTGGCAACTTGTAGCAAATATCTCGGCCTTTGATACTGAACGGTTGGATATTACCCACATAGCGGGATATCAGGGATGTCAGCTGCTCCACGTCACATCGCTTCCTGACTTCGCAGGTAAGCAAGCAGTTGGCATCTACCAGTTTCTTGAGGAATGACAGCGATCCAATGCATCGCAACTGACCATCGCTGATGATGACCATCCGATCGCCCAGGACCTCTCCGTCGTCCAACTGGTGGGTGGTCAGGAGTATGGTACGGCCTTCCTTCGCCTCCAGTATTAGTCTCCACAATTCCCGCCGGGCGCCTGGATCCAAGCCGGTAGAGGGTTCGTCGCAGATGAGAACCTAACCCTTATACGTGTTAATCATACTTTTTAATGCATTTTATCTGCTGTACGAGTAAGAAGCTTAATAATGTATAAACTAAAAGCTAAAAAAATCAAAGCTAGGTTTACATGACTACTGTACCTTGACTCCACCGCAAAGACAACAGGCCACACATAGACGCCGCTGGGCTCCACCGGAGAGGTTCTGAGCTGCCGTTTTCTTCTTTATCTCCAAATTAAGCTTCATCAGGTACAATTGCACCTCAGCCTTGACCTCCGCGCCCCGGAGTCCTCGAAGCCGACTGAAGAGCTGTATGTGACTGGACACGCTGAGTCCGCTAAAGAGTACATTTTGCTGCGGGCATAGACTAATGCAGCTCCGGGCCTTCCTCCGTTCCTGACGAATGTCAAAGCCATTTATCAGAGCCGTCCCCGAAGTGGGCGTAATGAAGCCAGCCAGCATAGTGAGTAGTGTAGTCTTGCCCGCTCCATTGTGTCCCATCAGCACCGTGATCTGTCCCTCGAACATGTCGAAGCTAACGTTCTTCACGACTTCCACATTGCCGAAAGACTTTCTGAGACCCCTGATCTGAACGCCGGGGATCAAGCCCTCGGGATCCGGCTCAATCAATTTGGGATCGGGACGTTCCTCATCTGGAGCCGCCCTATATATGCCGAAAAATCTGTAAAAGAGCCGCCTATAGGGCACGAAACTTTTCGTGGAGCAGCAGTAGGTGCAGGGGAAATGCCAGGGACGAGCTACCCCGTAATTCCCAGGCCGGACTTGCTCGATATATAGGCAGAGAAATAGGGTAAAAAAGCTGACGAATAGCATGATCAGTATGATATTGCCAGCGCTGACTGTTTCTCCCGGCCATGAGATCTCGAAGAGATTACCCCACTGTAGACCTTCACCATATCTCTCCCAACTGAGAATGCTTGCATACAGCATATGCTGTCCAGATAACAAAAAAAAACAGCAGAGAAGGCTAAGTCCCGCGGAATGTTCCACGCTTATCAAGAACATACTCGGAACTTTGGTGGCATACAGGATAAAAGTCGTGATCAGGCCCAAGTAATGTTTGGTAGTCTTTAGACTGCTTATCAGGAAGCCAAAGCAGATCGCGCAGTGGGCCGCCACTAGCAGACTGACCAGTAGCATCGACCAGTGGGTTGAGGGCAGAAAGGATATCTCAGATTTTGGTGGGACGAGTTTCCAGAACAATGTTATTGCCAATGATCCGATCAAGAAAATTATGAAGGCCAGGATGTACCACGCCACCCACTGCAGACAGGAGCCCACACCCAAATGCATAAGTGTCACCTTAAGCTGGAGCTCCTTTTCATCGACGATAAACTGCAACGTAGAGTGTGAGAAACTTTGTGTAATATAAACATTAGAGCTATGATTCCGTTACCTCTACCAAATTAAAAACCACAATGAAAGTAATTAAAAAAATAACAAGCTCTGCCAAAAATTCTAATGCTTTGTTATAATTAAAAATGGGCGGGGAAGGCAAGTCCTTGATTAGTGGAAAGTTGATATTCTCCTGGGCCTTATTAAATTCCTTAAGCTTGTGCTTGATATAAACTTGGCTCAACGTCTGCTGTATGGCTAAAAAGCCGTTTTTATACAATGGAAAATCGCCAGTGCTTGAGTACATAATATTCGCATTGAAATCATATACCATGGGAGGACGAAGAGTGAAAGACAGTTTATCAGGCCATTCAGTCCAGTTGCCGGAAAATTCGATACCAATCACAGATTTCGATTTAATCGAAAAATTAAGCAACGCGTCATTAAGTTTGTGCGAGTTTCCAAAGCCTTTGGTTTCATTTACGTTTAGCTGTGCCACAATCGACTTGATCAACTCAGTATCGGGTGAGAAATAAATACAAGACCTATAGGAAAGTTGCATCTCTAGATAAAGGGGAAGTATGTGCATGGAGGACTTACGGAAGATTAGCAAGAAGCAATGCAGTTGGTGTCGGTTCCGCTATATGCTTTCTGGTTCTCATCGACGGTATAAGCCGGCAGCACATAAAAACTAAAGGCACGATGACACAAAAAATTAAAAGTGTGATCATTAGGCATTTCCGGCCTAGCAGCACTAAGAAGTTTTTCCACGAAAGCAGCAACAACTTCATAATCCAGTTGGGAGGTTTGCGGTCAGCCATATTGCCGCTTTTATTTAAGTTGACATAACAAATTTGATCGACTTGATTCAAAAACCTTGAATGTTTAAAATGTTGTCACTAAACTAAAAGCAACTTTGTTTAGTTTTTGACTCGATCAATAATCAGGCGTATGGTGAAAAGTCGTGTGGTTTTATTTAACTTACGAAAACGTTTCATTTATTTTGCATTTATTTTGTATTTGATGTTCAGGTATAAACTCATATGTACACAAAATTCGTTACAGAATTACATCAATCAAATGCAGAGCTGCGGGATAAGAGAAAAAGAGTACAAAAAGAATGATGTATAAAATGTAAAAGACAATGCGGTAGCCATTGCGACAATCAGTTCCTTCATCGTTAATTTGCTACATAATTATAGTGAGATATTGACTTTAGTGAGCTATTTCAGTCCAATCACATTGTGTTCTCGTTACCAGAAGTGTGTAATGCTTTGCTTACATGCTCCAAAAGAAATGCGTTAGCAAGGGAATGCTTAGTGTTGCTGATTTAATGATTCTTGATGCTGTTTCTGCTGTTGCTGCACTGGCACCTGTTGATTTTGAACGGGCGGAGGACTCTGATTGTGGATCTGTTGTTGTGCTACGGGTTGCTGTTGGGCAGTTTGCTGCTGTTGCACAGGTTGCTGCTGCTGTTGCACAGGTTGCTGCTGCTGTTGCACAGGCTGCTGCTGCTGTTGCACAGGCTGTTGCTGCTGTTGCACTGGCTGTTGCTGCTGATAGACTGGCTGCTGTTGCTGATAGACTGGCTGCTGTTGCTGATACACAGGCTGATTTTGGTAGACAGGTTGTTGTTGTTGCGGGATCTGTCCAGCGTGCTGGTAAACTTGGTTGGGATGTAACTGCACAGGCTGCTGTCCGTTTCCGTACTGCTGCTGCTGGTATTGCTGGGCATACTGCTGTTGCTGCTGCACGTATTGCTGTTGCTGCTGGGCGTGTACTTGATCAGGTTGCTGGTAGTGCAGTTGGGCGCCTGGTGGTGCCTGTTGGTACGCCACTCCTCCTGGGGGTGGAGCAGCGTAGTATCCCTGCGGCATGTTCGGGTGCGGTGGTAGCTGGCCCTGGGCAATCAGGCGCTGCACTTCCTCCTGCCGCCGGCGTTCGTACTCCAGATACTCCTCGTGCGTATACTGTTGCTGCTGGTCGATGGTCTCCCATTCAGGGTCCTTTTGGAATTCTTCCTTGTTAGTCTGCACCATGAACTCCTCGATGCTGATCAAGCCGTCATGGTTCGTGTCCGTTTCCTGGAAGTAATGCTCGCGCATACGCTCCATTTCCTCTGCCCGCTCCCTCATATCGTCCTCGGGCAGATCACTTTGATACACCTTATCCAGTTCCTTGACAAACAGAGCCTTAACCTCAGCCTCGTCCCAGTAGCCGTTGCTGTCAACGTCGTGGATCGAGAAGAAGGTCTTCGGATCAAAGTCGTTCTTGTCCATGTGGTCCTGTTTTTCCCACACATCCTCTAGTTGGGCCTTGTTTCCGGGGTGGTGCAGCTTCTCGTGGTCCTTGTGCTTTTGCTCCTTCACCTTGAGCTCGGCCTCAAACTTCTTCCGCGACTCCTCATCCATCTCCTTTTTCTGCGCCTCACGCTCAAACTCTTTCTGCATTTCGTACTCCTTGAAATCGCCACGTCGCTTGCGGTCCGCTTCGGCCAGGTCGTCCGAGGTCTTTTGAATGAGCTTTCGCAGATCCTCGATCTCGAAGGTATGCTCGTTGTCGTGGTCCAGATGCTGAGACACCTTTATGTGCTTCCGGTCAATGTCGTTGGACAGCTCGTACGCTTGGTTTGCCAGCTCCCGCAGACGCTCTACCTCGCGACGCTTGATCTCGTCCAGCTTGGTCCGCACATGGTGGTTTACATAGTCCAGCTCCTGTGCGATTTTTCCGCTCTGCAAATTAAAATTGATTATTAAGCAACTGCTTGTGTCATCATATCCAGTAAACAAAGAGATTTAGGGCTATTTAATTACATCTTTACATGTAAATTAGAAACTATAGTTAAAGCGAAGCGCACTTCAATGGAACGTAAACTAAATTTGGGTCTCTGGCCTTTATAATTTCCATTTAAATATATATAAGGGTATATTTTACAGTGTTGGGAATGAGCCACTTTGATAAACAAATATAAGTTGATTCTAGAAAACTCTCGAATGAAACATTTAGAATAATATCTATGTAACTGCCTGCTAAATTCTTAGGTTTTAGTTTTAGTAAGTACGCTGGACTTCATATATTTAAGTAAAAGGGGATACAATTCGAGGAATATGGTAACAGAAATGTCTTTATCTGACTTTTTGTAAGTGCATTTTGATGAGATAAGCCCCGAATGTAAATGATTTTTCTACTACTCGGTGTATTAGTAATTTAATTATTACTATTATTGTAGTATTGTACATTTAGCAATACATGACTAAAGCAGCGTTTCGAGACGTGGAAACACACAGTTCCGGGAATTCAGCGTTCGACTCACCCGAATGTCGGCCTCGGGCGCCTTGTCCAGCTTCTTACGGAACTCGGGATCCGCCTCGAGGGCCTCGACCACCTCCCGCAGGTAGCGCTCGTACTCCAGGGCCGTTTCCACGTCGGCGGTGGCCGGAGTGGAGGACTCCGTCTCCTTGTTATCCTTCTTGTTCTGCGACACTGGCAGGGCCTGAATCGAGGCGGAAATCGCAAGCAGTACCAAGCCCAGCAGGGCCACGTTCTGCGCCATGCCTGCAAGTGTGTGTCTCTGTCGTGTATTTCCCACTTTTGCCCAATACAGGGCGACAACTGTGCAAATATCTCCACAAAAAACAAATAATCTCAAGAATATTCTGACGTGTCGAAACTGCGCGAGACCGTACTGCACTAGCTAGAGAATCCATTCAAAAAATACCCAAACATTTGTTAAATATACCGAGTATATACCACACTTTCAACCAAAGACGCAAACCTTGGAGAGCGTGGTGTGGAAAAATATTATTGCATTTTGTACCTAGGTACAAGATTTTTGGCATAAATTCCTAAATAAAAACGTACCTAACGAAAACGAACAACGAAACTAACCAAAGTAATAGACATTGCTTTTTACATTTAATATCATATTTCATTAAATAAGGGTAGCCTAAAAACCATATATCAGACTATCTGACTTACGGTATTTAAACCTCGAAAGGAATTTCGGTACTCCGAATTTATATATAAATATATATTGAATTGTTCTCCAAATCGTTTTTCAGTGAAGTATGCAATTGAAACATTTACGTTACCTTAATCATTTAGTGTGAACCGAAATTCAATATAAATTTGTAAATACAACGTACAAATTTGAAAGCGGTAATAAACTAAACACATTCTTAATTTTGCGTATCAAGTTTGAATATTTTTCCTTTTTGTTTTCGACACATATCCCTTCCTTTTGTCGGCAGGCTTAAGGTCTGATTTAATATTGCTCAGCTTCTTCTGCCTTGACATTGAATCCTTTTCATGGCCCTTTCGATTTTTTAACAATTTTTCGATCCTTTCAACTTTATTCAGTTTGGCGGATTTGTGACTTTTGTCGCTTTTCGTCTCCGGTCGTATCTTGGTCGATATGTCCTCGCGATCCAAAGGTTTCTTGGCTCGCATCCTGGCCTCCGATTTGCGAACCTTCTTCATTTGCAGCATATATTCCGGAACGGATCCCCCAGAGTTTTTAATTATAAGCGCGATGCTGAGGGATAAAAAAAAGGGTTTTTAAATCGGGCGCCAATAGCTCGATTTGTAGCGTGGAGTTACCTTCTCAAATTGGATGTGTCATCTTGTGTGAAAAACGTAATTGCCCGACCAGGACGTCCAGCGCGCCCCGTTCTGCCGATCCGATGAATGTACGAGATGGTGGTGGGCGGGAAGTCGTAGTTGATCACCAGATTGACACCCTTGAAGTCAATGCCTCGGCCCATGAGCTCCGTACAGATGAGCACCCAAATGCTGCCCTCGCGGAACGCTCTCACACAGTTGTCGCGCTGATGCTGACTCCTTTCGGCATGGATAACATCCACGTTGATGCCGTCGTAGAGCAGCTCCTCGAATAGCTGCTTTGCGCGCTCCTTGCTTTGAACGAAAACGAGCACCGGCGGCTGGAGACCTTGGCGCACAAGGTCTCGCATAGCCACCAGCTTGCCGCCCTCGGATCCGACGAACAGCAGCTCCTGTTGAACCGTTTCCGTGGCGCTATTTTGCACTCCAATGGTGATGCGCACTAGATTTTTGAGGTGACGTAGTGCCCATTTGGCCACTGGCACAGTGTAGGTCGCACTAAAGAATGCCACGCACTTGGTTGGATGTGAGCAAGCGGCATATATGTCGTCCAACTGTTCTTTGAAGTTGTTTTGCCCTTCCTCCATCAGACGATCTGCTTCGTCCAGCACAAACCATTCGACGTGGGACAAATCTAGCAATGGTGGCTCCTGCTGCAAGAGGAACCTCACGCGGTTTGGCGTAGAGACCAGGATGTCGTAGCGTTGCTTGCACTCGGCACCATGTTTCTGCTTGGCCTCGCTCACCTTGCTAATGAAGTGGGTGCGCAGGCCCGTTTCACGGGTTAGCTCAGCGCACTCGCGGTAGATTTGCTGGGCCAACTCTCGAGTGGGAGCAAGGACCAGAGCCCTCAGCCCACTGGTCCTGTGCGCCCTCAGGCCATTGATTATGGGTGTGAGGAAGGCCAGTGTTTTGCCGGATCCAGTGGGTGCACAGGCCATTAGCGCACGTCCCTGAAGGAGCACGGGCAGAGCCTGCATCTGGATCGGCGTGGGACGGTCGAAGTTGCGAGACAGTAGGTTCAGCTGCAGGCGAGGCAGCATCTTAAAGTCCTTAGTTAGACTACTGAAACTGGCCACCGGCGGAGGAACATTCTTGCCCAACACGCTTATGCCGTACTGCTTCCGCGTCTCGTTTGCCTCATCGACTGCCCTTTGAAGCTCTAATTCCTTGGGAGACAGTGTCTTCTCTTTCTTATGCTTCTTCCGTTTGGGTTTATTGCTGGATGCCCCGTCCAAGAGGCGGAATTCTGTGGTGTCATCCACAGAATCCTTATCTGACTCTTCTTTCTTCACCGGCTTCTCATGCCTAGAAACCTCCAGTCGCGGCTGCGGGTTTGAGGGCGGCTCCTTCTGCAACTTATTTAATTAGCATGTGAACATTGCCTTTACTCAAATACACATACCTTTGACTTCTTGGTGAAGCGAACTCCCGCCGTAATCAATTTAAATATATCGTGCTCATCCATTTTCCCGAGAACAACGCACGTGCATTTGTTTTGATTCTGGCGATGTGCTACCAGATCGGGAAAAGTTTTACATAACAGAGCGCTGTTAACTGCAACAGCATATTAACCCCTGAATGACCCCTTAATTAAATTTTGAATCAGTATGATATTAATATCATACTCTTATAATTAATGTAGGAAAAAATCCAGAAAAAATGTATAACTGATAATGAAAGAAAACGATTTTTTTTAAATATACGTATAATGTTTGAATTCGAGAAACCTTTTTTTTAACTTTAATATTTAAGTTCATATTAGCTGATATATAATTGAAATATATATATTTATATCTTTTGTAAAATAATTCAAATATGACAGCTATTAACTCATAAAATACTTTAAAAATCAGTTTGAAAGTGCCATATAATAATAGAAAGCAATATTCCTTTTATGCAAAACATTACTTTATTCGCCTGGCTCTATGGCCACCAGTTCATCAAGGAGCTCAACCCTTCGCTGCAGTCCCTTGGAGTCCTTCTCGCTACCCCTGACACCCGCCGCCACCCCGCCCCAACTAAAGGATCTATGTCCAAGGTCCTCCAGTCCATCGTCTTGGTACTCCTCGCAGATGTTGTGCATCGCACATATGCTCTCCACAATGAGGCGCACCTCGTTCAAATCCCTGGCTTCCAGGGCGTACAGGGTATTGAATCGTCGGGCTAAGGTATCCAGTACCTGTTCCGCCAGCTGGAAGGCGGGACGCAGCAGTTCGTTAAACACCGCATCCTTGCGGAAGCACTCGGCTTCAATGGGCCGCATCAGGTAGGATTTGAGGGGAAACACTTCGTTCCCGATGAGATAGCTGCCAGCCGGCATGGTCCTTGGATTCAAGGCCAAGGTCTGGCCAATGGGTGAGTCCTCGAAACTGTACTCCATGGCCAGCTCCACGTAGCAGTCGACGATCTTCCGCTCGGCATTGCAAATTAACTGGAGCACCACCGGCACATCAGCGTGCTCCGCCTCCAGAAATACGTCCAGACGCCTCAGCGTTATGATCCCGAACAGTTCCCGAAAACAGCGCAGGTGCTCCAATTTCTGGTACCCCTGCAAAGTGCTCCGCTGGGCCGCCAGTGAGTTTGGCCACTTGATGAAGCTCTCGTAATTATCGGAGATGCAGTGCCAGAATGCCCGCACTACCTGCTGACAAAGAGCCCAGGGAAGTCGAAACTTTCGGGCGATCTCCTCGAAGTGCTCGTCGGTGGACAGCTTCCACAGGGCCAAGGACACCATGGTCTGCGCCGGCGGAGTAGGATAACCTGGCAACGCGATTCCGAATAAAGTTTTCTCAAGTGCTTGCTGGATTTTCTGAAATAATTAGAATGTGCATTTTATTTACATATGTGTTAATTTGTATGTATTTGTCGTGAGACACTATGCTATGGTATTTTTAGGATAAGGGTAAATTTTCAAATGGTTTTCATACACATACATATTAAACATTTTAATTTTAATAGAACATATATAAATTATAAAAGTTCGCAATTATAAAAGTACACACAGATTGTAAAGGATCCTGGAGATCCTTGTAAAGGATTGTAGATCCTTGATACTGAAGTAACACCTCTCCATACTTACCAGGAATGTAAGTTTGCGCATGTGGAGGTACGACTCGAACTGAGCATCCGTGTAGCGGTGCAGGAGGTTGAGTTCCGGGTGGTGCCACTCCAGCTTGGGCAGCTTTAGGTCCTGTTTTCGGTCCTCCGGCTCCCGGGAGATCCTGCGCTTCCGGCTGGATGCCAACGCCCGTTTCCGCTGCATCAAAGCGAAGATCTCCGCCTCATCGTCGTCCTCATCGCAGGACAACAGTGGATAATTGCCTGAATTGATGTCCACGGACGGCTGGTCAATAAGCAAATCCTTGGTGATTATGGACGCAATGTTGGCAAGCACAGCGCGTTCCTCCATTACGAGTCCTTTGCAATCTCCGAATTTTTGGTTCGTTCTATGATTTACATATGTATATCTTGTCACCCGGCTTTATCAACCCCTCTTTTCGATGGTGTGTGTATTTCTAGTCAGCTGTTTTCGTGGTTTCCAGTGTGGAAAACTACGCTTTTTGTAAGCAAAATTATATGAAGTATATTTTATTGTTTTCCAGGTTGATAGCCTTTGCCGCAAGTCTTATAATTATATCCAAGCACATAAATTATAAAATTCAAAAATGTTATTTTGCTCATATTTTACAAGCCAACGAAACAGAGCTGCCACTTGAGTTACAGCTAACAGGCGTTACAGAACGACTTGGCCCTAACAGTACTGTTAAAGGGAATAAAGCATAACCGTAATTCTTAAAATAGTTTTGAAACAGCTCTTATTCGGCTCTTATTTATTTCGAGTATAATACAAAAACTTAAGCCGAATGTTTTTGCATCATTGTCTGCTTGCAGACTGACAATCATGTCCTGTTATTTTACTTAATTCCTATATTTTGGGTACAAGATACCTTTAACAAGGTACGCCATCGTAGTCGCATTCCAAAGGAACTATAAAATACTCGGTTAGAATCTTATTAGAGTACCCATTGTGAACAGGTACTTACCGATTCCCGGCTTCAGCACTTCAAAGGACTCCCAGGCGCAGGTGTGCAATGCAGGATCTGCCTCCGGCATGCTGGCTCGATTACCTGGGCGGGATGCACTCGCTCTTAGTTCTCGAACACGTCTTCGCAGGGCGGCCAAAACGTCGGAGTGCCTCTCGGAGTAAACCAGATTGTTCTGCTCACAGGGATCCGTTGAGATGTCGTACAAGCACTCCTCCAACAGAGGATTACATGACCTCTGCAGGTCTCCACAACGCACAGCAGCCAAACGACGGGTGATAGAAATCCGTTGTTGCGTCAATCGTCGCAAATCGTAACGGGAAAGGGCTCTTGAGGTGGCGGAATTGCGCACCGTCACCGCATAGCGACTCTCGCGGGGATCCAGGTCGTCCAGTTCCCGGTAGGTGAGCAACGAGTCGTATCGGCCGGCGGCCGTGGTGCCGTTCACATACTTCCACTGTCCTAATTGGAGCGCAGCCACACGCCAAATGTCGTCCAAGATGTGCAGAATCTCTCGGGGAACGTGGGGAGCATCTGCGGATCCGGATAGCTCGGGCCACAAATCGATCCCGTCCAGTTTCAGAGAGCTATCCAGCTCTATGCCCGCAGCATGGGAAAGTGTTGGTAACCAGTCGGCCACGTATAAGGGCTGGCTAAAGATAGAGCCGCGTGCCTGAAGCTTGGAGCTCCAAATCGCACCAGCCACCCGTACTCCGCCCTCCCACGGTGTATTCTTCTGCCCACGAAGTGGGAAATTAGAGCCTGTATTCGCGAACATACCCAGCGAAGGGGCTCCATTGTCCGAGTAGAAGATCACAATGCTGTTCTCCAGTTGATCCGTGGCGGCCAGCGTGCTCATTATACGGCCCACGCTCTGGTCCAGTTTGGAGATGATTGCTAAGGATTAGATCACTTCTGGGGTAAGTCAAGTAAAAGTATGCAGTTAAATAATTTATAACAAAGACTATCTTGTTAAATTACTAGGACATGACATAATTTAAATATGTATAGTAATTAACCAGAATTCTTGCTCAATTATCAAATTTCATTCCGAGTGATCTCGTAATTTAAAGGGACTATTGATTTATGGAAGAAATCCCGATGAAGGGACTTTAAAAATATGTATTCATTTTGGCAACTAAAAATATATTTTTTTAGTGTACTTACCTGCATATTTCCTTCGGTTGGGATCCTTAATGTAGGCAAACTTTTGTATCTCCTCCTCGGGAGCTTGCAGAGGATCATCCTTGTTGGCCGTGTGGGCAGCCAGGTGGCTGAGCATCAGGAAAAGGGGTTGCTCCTTATCAGCATGGTCTTTAATCAACCGTTCCGCCTCGGCGGTAAGCAAATCAGTTACATAAGCCCCACGATCCCGGCACTCCAACTCCATGTTCCGCCGGAAATCGTAGCCCAGACTATAGTTGGCCACCGGCATCTTGGATCGCCTCTGGAAGTAGTCTATATAAGCACCCCAATAGCCGAAGTGGTAGTCAAATCCCCGCCGAGTGGGCGTATATTCCGGGCGGGAGAAGCCCAGATGCCATTTTCCCACTAGGTTCGTGGAGTAGCCTGCTCCTTTGAAGATCTCCGGCATCAATGTGGCATTGAGGGTCAGGGCCCAAGGCTCTTTGTTGCTGATTACAAAGTGCTGGGTGCCTACGGTAATTGAAATATTAATTTATTTTACAAGATATAGATATGATATGATATAGATGTACATATATATGGAAGATATACGATACTAACCCGTGTGTATTGGGTACCGGCCGCTGAGAAGTGCTCCCCGAGATGGAGTACACATCGCCGGGGCGTAGAACCGATCCAGCAGACGACCGTGATACGCCAAGGCATCGATATTGGGGGTTAGAAACTCCCGGCCGCCTCGAAAGCTCACATCATCGAAGCCCTAAGAGATTGTTTGCTTTAGAAATAATGGGTTGATTTATGACGGCGAAACTGGTCCCACCATGTCGTCGGCCATAATGATGATTATGTTGGGGCGCCGTGCTGCAGCAGATTCGTCCGGCTTCCCCCGTTGAAGGCAGAGCAAAAGCAGAAACGCTGATAAGCTCCGCATATTGGTTACCCAACTCACGAATTGGACATACACGTAATATTCGACTGCTTTCCACGGCCGCTACCGATCAACTGAATCGGCGAGAGGACCACGTAACATCTCGCCCCGAATCGGTTTGGGTCTCGATCTCCCCATCAGTCCCAGACTCAGTCTCAGCATTTCACTCCCAAGCCGAACGTTTGGAGTTCGATTTGAAACCGATCAAACCGAATTAGACGCCACAAGCAACAAGTTTTTTTTACCAACCGAGATCCTCCATCAAAAGTATGCGCAGTAATTATAATGTGTAGGTTACGTACAATTTTATAGACGAATAAAGTTTTCTCAAGTGCTTGCTGGATTTTCTGAAATAATTAGAATGTGCATTTTATTTACATATGTGTTAATTTGTATGTATTTGTCGTGAGACACTATGCTATG